GCGGCTCATGTGAACAACTATACTAAGTTGTTGTCGGACTTGGCGAATGTTGATGAGAAGATATCGGATGAGTACAAGGCGATTATTTTGTTGGGCTCCTTACCGGATGAGGAGTATGATACCTTCGTGCTCACTTTGTTGAACGGGAGATCTTCTATCAGCTATAGTGAAGTGACTAACGCTTTGACGAACTACGATTTGAGGAGGAAGGATAAGGAGACTTCCCGCGCTAGTACTTCAGGAGAGGCCTTGTCGACGAGAGGTAGAAGCCCATATCCGAAAGGTGGTAATAGAGGAAGATCAAAGTCTAGAGGCCGCCACCAATTAACAAAGAACCAATGTGCATTCTGCAAGGAGCAGGGACATTGGAAGAGAGACTGCCCGAAGCTCAAGGAGAAGGAGAATGGCAAGAAAAAGGGCCCGAAGGCCAATGAGGTGAATATTACGAAAGGCGATGATTCCGATGATTCGTGCTTTTCTCTACTGATTACTCCGGAGGTGAACCATGTGGATGCATCAGATTGGATGCTTGATTCCGGCGCTACCTTTCATGTGACCCCTAGGCGAGACTGGTTTGCATCTTTTGAGAAAGTCGACGGGGGCGTTGTTGTCATGGGAAATGATCAATCCTGTGGCGTTTGTGGGATAGGTACCGTGCGGATTAGGATGCACGATGGAGTAGTCCGTGAGTTGAAGGAGGTGAGATTTGTTCCTCAACTGAAGAAAAATCTTATCTCAGTTGGAGCTTTGGAGGCGAAGGGATTCAAGGTGACTTTCGAAAACGCTGTAGCGAAGGTTACTAAGGGATCATTGGTGGTGATGAGGGGAGTCCGCAATCGGAATTTGTATTATCTGAAGGGAAGCACCGAGATTGGCCAGGTTGCTTCGGCTATTTCAGAAGCGGACATGAGCAGACTTTGGCACTATAGATTGGGGCACACAGGTGAAAAGTCACTGCAGACATTGTGCAAGCAGGGGCTATTGAAGGGAGCCAAGAGTGGGAAGATTGAGTTCTGTGAGCACTGTGTTCTTGGCAAGAAGACGAAGGTGAAGTTCGGGACTGCCATTCATCAGACGAGGGGCATCCTGGATTACGTGCACACAGACGTTTGGGGTCCCACCAAGACTGCATCACTTGGTGGTAGACATTGGTTCGTCACTTTTGTAGATGACTATTCTAGGCGTTGTTGGGTGTACACCATGACGAAGAAGAGTGAAGTCCTAGATTTGTTTGTGGAGTGGAAGAAGAGATTGGAACTGCAGACTGGGAGAAAGATCAAGACGTTGCGATCCGACAACGGTGGTGAGTATACTTCTGACCCCTTTCAGCAGCTATGTCGAGACGAGGGCATAGAGAGACACTTCACAGTTAGTCATACACCGCAGCAAAATGGGGTGGCAGAGAGGTTGAATCGGTCTTTACTGGAGAAGATCCGATGCTTATTGTCGCAGAGTGGTTTGGAGAAGATCTTTTGGGCTGAGGCACTTACATATGCGAGCCACCTCATTAATAGGCTGCCTTCATCTGCGATTGAGGGGAAAACCCCTATGGAGATGTGGTCGGGAAAGCCAGCACATGACTATGACCAGCTCAAGGTATTCGGGTGCCCTGCATATTATCATGTTAGAACTGATAAATTGGAACCTCGAGCTAGGAAGGCCATATTTGTAGGATTCAAGCGTGGTGTCAAGGGATACAAGCTTTGGGATCCAGTTGATAAAAAGATTGTTCTGAGTAGGGACGTCACATTTGATGAGGCTTCTATCTTGAAGCTTCCCAGCTCTCATCAGGTGGAGAGCGACCCGACGGAGGAGATATCGCAGGTGGTGGAGATCGATGCAGCTCCACATTGTCCAGATGGTACAGTATCCATGCAGGTGCCGACTGAGGTGACGCCAGGCGAGCACGACGATGACACGGAGGATACGAGTACAAATGTGCAGGATCAGGAACCGACGGCTCAGGTTCAGGATTCTATTGCGGCTAGGAGACAGAGGAGAAACATACAGATGCCAGCACGGTATGCCGACACAGTTGCGTATGCACTTCCGGTGGAGAGTATCGATGAGTTAGTGCCTACTACATTCAGAGAGGCCGAGCAGAGTTCGGAGGCTGATTCGTGGCAGGTGGCTATGCAGGAGGAGATGGAATCTCTTCATAAGAACGATACATGGGAGCTTGTTGAGCTTCCAAAGGGGCGGAAAGCAATTGGTTGCAAGTGGGTATACACGAAGAAGGAGGGCATTGAAGGCACTCCGTTGAGATTCAAGGCTAGGTTGGTTGCGAAGGGCTATGCACAGGAGGAAGGTATTGACTATAATGAGGTTTTCTCTCCGGTGGTGAAGCATTCTTCGATTCGGATTTTGCTAGCTTTGGTGGCACAGTATGGTTTGGAATTAGATCAGTTGGATGTGAAAACGGCATTTCTTCATGGTGATCTTGATGAAGAAATATATATGACTCAGCCATTGGGATTCCGAGCTGCAGGGAAAGAAAAATTAGTTTGCAAACTGAAGAAATCGCTATACGGTTTGAAGCAGTCTCCTCGACAGTGGTATAGGCGATTCGATGGTTTTATGCTTGGTCATTCGTACACTCGGAGCCAGTTTGATCCTTGCGTATATTTTCGCAAGTTGAAAGGAGGTGCGTATATTTATTTGTTGCTCTATGTCGATGACATGTTGGTTGCCTCTATTTCCAGGTCGGCTATAGATGAGTTGAAAGTTCAGCTTTCAAATGAGTTTGAGATGAAGGAATTGGGCGAGGCGAAGCGCATTTTAGGGATGGAGATCGGCAGAGACAAGAAAAATGGCAGAATTTGTTTGACACAGGTGGCTTATTTGAAGAAAGTTCTACAGCGATTCCATGTTAGCATGGATACGAAGCCAGTTAGTGTACCATTGGGAGCCCATTTGAAGCTTTCAGCTGGTCTTTCACCAAAGTCAGTTGAAGATCGTGAGTTGATGTCGAAGACTCCATATGCGAGCGCGGTTAGGAGCTTGATGTACGCGATGGTATGTACGAGACCAGATTTTTTACAGGCGGTAAGCATGGTTTCTAGATACATGCATGATCCAGGAGTGGGTCATTGGGACGCCGTGAAATGGATTTTGAGGTACATTCGAGGTACGCTCAATGTTGGTTTGGTTTATGAGCGGGACACTACAGGTGGGCAGCTATGCATTGGCTATGTTGATTCGGATTATGCTGGGGATTTGGATAAGCGAGGCAGAGTATATGGTAGTTACGGAGGCTGTGAAGGAGACTATTTGGCTTCGAGGACTTTTGGAGGAACTTGGTATATCGCAGAGGTCCGTCACTATTCATTGTGATAGCATGAGTGCTATCTATTTGGCGAAGAATCAGGTTTTTCATGCGCGGACGAAGCACATTGACGTTCGTTATCACTTCGTTCGAGATGTTCTTGAAGATGGCGATATGGAAATTATGAAAGTTGAAGATGGCGATGTGGAAATTATGAAAGTCCACACGAAGGATAATCCGGCAGATATGCTCACTAAGGTGGTTCCGAGCAACAAGTTTGATCATTGTCGAAACTTGTTGCACATTCGTAATTGTTGAGGCCGTTGTCGGCCATTTGGGTGAACTACGTTCGGCTTGATTCCTTGGGCAAAAGGATACGTAGGCAGTCTTTCAGATACAGCCGGTTTGGATTTATTGATTTTGATGGGGGTGAGATTGTTTGGACTCTCGTTCGGATTCTCGACTTGTTGTGGATTCACTTCGTATTGGACATAACAAGTGGGACATTTGGATTCATTTGGTGTCGGTTCAGTTTTGGAAAAACTTCACCGAGGTGGAGAATTGTGAACCGCAATTATGTGGGCCACGTGTGCATACGAAGGCATGCGGGTGCAATGCTAAGTCGCGGAGAAGGCCATAGTTTCGGGTCAGGATTTTTTTTTTTTTTTGATTTGACCGCAAATTCACTTATAAATAGGTTTGCCTAGGGTTTCGTGATAGTTAGGTTCTGAGCATCTTTTGTAGAGAGAGTTTGTGTGAGAGGTTTGAGAGTTTTGTGTGAGGGTTTTATTTGTGAGATTCTTGTGTAAACCCTATTTGTATTCTCTCCCTCTATTAGTAGATCTCCCCCCTCCTTGCCCCGTGGACGTAGGCAATTTGCCGAACCACGTTAAAATTGGTTGTACTGCTTTTGTGTGATTTGTAATAGCTTTTAGGGTCCCTCGACGCGCAGTCCTAGAGCTGACGAGAGGAAGAGCTAATATCCTACTTTGATAGGATATAAGCTTCAGATTCTTGTTCCCTTTGAGAAACAAGAATTCTTATTGCGACCTGACTCTCTTGTTGTGCTGCCGAAGTGCTGCCGAAATTTCCGCTGCGCGCAACATGTAAAACATCATCAAAACATAAGGGCTAACATAAGTATAGTTCACCATAAATAAAATGTGACTTATCTCAGTCACATTGTTATGTATAGGATAATCAAAAGAAAGTTACTAAACCCAGGAAACTCCTCTTTTTAGTCGTAGCCTCGAGGCTATAGGAAGGAGCCTCTGGTTAAAGCGCCACCTCCGCACTTCCCCTCAACGACTGTCTTCCCTCTATTTCTCTCTTTCCGTCAGATCAATAATAAGAGGGAGCTAAATCTTCTTCCCACTTTTCAAGCCATCTACGCTCTCTCCATCGTCTCTTCTTCTCTAATTAAATCTTATTTCAAAAAAAAAAAGCCTGACCCTTGAAACCCTTTTTAATTTAAGCCCAAGACGTGGATTCCCTTACTCCTTGGGATTAAAATCAACATCACACCATCATTTTGAATTTGGTTATGTAATTGAAAGTCATAAAGCCCTCATCTAATAAAACGGCTCTAAGAGCGCCAGAGTAGCCTTAGTTTTTCTACTCCACCTGGGCAAACAAATACTGCACATGTTCTTGCTTATAAGGCTAACCGTACATTCCTCACACGAGAAACTTGTATGAAAAGTTTTTTATATTCTTAAACCTTCCACTAAGAAAAGCACTGCTATCACTCTTATTCCTTGCTCTCTCCCTCTCCCCCCTCTTCACCCTTTACATAGAAGGAAAACACAAACGCAAACTTACCAAACTTTCACTTTGGCTATCATGGCTTCTCTCCTTCCTTCATCAATGAACCTTCGGCTTCCTATAAGGAGATCGAACAGCGCATTCTTCGGTCCAAAGCTCAACGCATTGGGATATCAACCTCGACAAAGTCAAGTAACAACCCAGGTGAAGGAGACGTCATTCAGAACACTTTGTGCTGGAAAATCTAATGGACAAGAGAAGACCCACGGCTCCTCACATTCCGTCCCCCTTTCTCCCCTTGAACTTGTAGCTGATGATTTCTACTCATCCCTCAACAAGAAGAACCGCTACAGATTGCATGAGCTCATTGCTGATGACTGTATTTTCCAAGATATGGCGTTTTCAAAACCATTCAAAGGAAAGGTGATCTGTTTTCTTCTTTATAGCTGGTAGTTTCCATGCTTTAATCATACAATCTGCACTACAAGGTAAATTTTATGTGATTGCAGGAAGTACATCATTTTCTCAGGAATCTAACAGAAGCCATGGGCAAGGATGTAAAATTCGTCGTCGATAGGGTTTATGAAGGTGATGGGCTAAGCATCGCAGTCCTATGGCATTTAGGTAATTGACAAAATCCTTCATTTCCACTAATTTTATATCTACATTTCATTGACAATACAAAATAATACAAAATATCAGAAAGTAACATCGAAGGAGATCATTTTTGCAGAGTGGCAGAAAAAGCGCATTCCCTTTGCCACTGGCTGCAGCTTCTATGATTGCATAAAAGAGAAGGAAAAGTTTTCCATCAAGTTAATATCACCAACTCATACCGGCCATAATACAGACATGGTTTAATTTTGTTTCAAAAAATACTGTAACGTGTTCAATTTAATTGCAGGAAAGCTACTGTTTATTTTGAATCACCACTAAAGCCAGGAGAATTTGTACTGGTAAGCAACTCAATCAAATAATAGCTTAGACGTCAAAAGAAACGTCAATTTATCATTTCACGATGACCTGGTGATTTTTCGTCCTCAAATTTTCAGAGTCTGCTCAACATCATCAGCTCGCTTTTTGACAACTTCCCAAAACAGGCTAAGTGTATGCATCAACAAGATAACTCTCATGTTTATTTTGTTGCTTACTAAAACAGACATTTGGATTGCAGGGTTCTTAGAAAAACCTCATGCAATGATACACCTTCTGATAAAAGCATACAAGATACTGATCGAGCCCTTCATACTTCCACTTATAGTGTACTATACCCATCTGTGGACTTATGGAGCTCTAATAATAAGCTATGTGCTCAACATACTGCAAAAGTTGCTGAAGTTTTTTATGTGATAAGAGTCCCCTAACATCTAACAAAACATACTGAAACCATTAAGGCAATATCTACAGCAGCTTTAGAGTTGATTTGTATACCCATTACTTATCATGGTCATCACCACTCGAGGCTATCTCCAGCAGTGACAGAAGAACCAAGGGGCCGAGAACTGGAGGAAGCTTTGGTTTGTCAAAGATTGCAACAGAGCTCATGTTGTCAACTGGCACGAGCATCGATCCTTGTTCGTTTTTAGTATCGTTCCTATTTGGAGCAGAGATCATCATGGGTCCTGTTTTAAGATGCTGTTAGTCGTGAGAATTAAAAAGGGCAAAATAGGAAGTAAAGGATAAGAGTCGATTGACATTACTCTTTGTACTTTGCATAGGATAGAGTTGTTTCATAATGTTCTTCACAGGCAATTTGGTGGCTCCTCTCATCTGGCTGTAGTAATATCGCACGGAATTAACCATGGAATTGAAAGGGTCTAAAGTAATTAAAAGCAGTGGCAGCCATTATTGAGAAAATGGTGATAATAGATGTTGGAATGTGATAGTAGATATTGGTAGCCAGATTCTTAACGTTACAGTATGTAGACAGCCACTAATATAGATGAAAATTTTCAGACAATCATTATAAGAAAGTAATCAGGAGCAGGTAGATGCAATGCATAGCATTACCGACTGTCAAAAACCAGAGCCTGCTATCATGCTACCATGAAACAACTACTGGTAGTCTCTATCAAGTTTATGTTCTTACATCCAATAAAGCTCACATAACAACAACTGCAATTACAGATAAATATAAACTAGTGTCAAATTGAATATTGTTATTGGCTTATTTTTCAGTCTTCCCTCTCTGCTAAGCACTAAGGAAAAGCAAATTCGCTATAGAAGGAGAAGAAATAGAATCTGAAATAAGGCTCCTTTAGCCTATTTGCTGCAAGATCAAGTAATATTCAAGGAAAAGTATCCCTAACAGGAGAAAGGTTAATATGGCCGCTGAACTCATGAACTTTTGGTATATCATGAGGAAAGTACTAAAAAAACACATTTCCTTACACGAACCTGTGATGCTCTAAAAAAATAACCAGGCCAGACAACTTCTCAAAAGGAGAGTTGTTAACCTGTTGAGTTTGGATATATAACCACGAGCAGATTCCGCAATAGTTTCGTTCTCTTGGTGAGTAATTGCAAGAGACATGGCAACTTGAATCAAGTTGGTTCAATCCATCTATGGTTGTATTTGTACTTAAGTCATATCGGAATTAAAATTAGTGCATAGGTGTTAGTCTCAAGAGTGTAGACCAAACCTGGAATCAAGTCAATAAAGAAAACTGGAAAAACCCAGTTCAGTCGACCGACGGAGGAGATCCGATCGACCGCAACGACAGTAGGAAAACCCAGGAAAATCACTTCAACCGAAGCTTGGTGTCGGTCGACTGAGAGTGGTCATCCGGTCAACCGAAGGTGATGGTCCGGTCGACCGAAAAGGTGCACAAGAACCCTATAGGAAACTGACGTTCTGGCTGGTCGACTGACTCACATGGTCCGGTCGACCGAAATCCGTTTTTGCAGATTCCTAATTGTTTTGGGATTCTGTTTTGGGCTGGGTTTATATATATATATATATATATATTAGAAATCTTAGAGAGAGAGAGAGGCCAATTGTGAGCATTGTAATCTTCTTCAATTAATCAAAGAATTGTGTGGTGTGGTTCCCGAGTACGTAGGCACATTGTCGAACCTCGTTAAATCTGGTGTGTTCTTTCTTGTTTATCTTTCCTGTAAAAATTTTATATGTTCTTTTCATTCTCTTTTTAAGAACTTAGTGGCATACTTATGGAACGTCACCCAAGTCGCGCTGTGTAAATCCCGTAGTTGCCGAGATGGCTGGTTAGGGTAGTGTAAGACGTTAACAGACGTGTAAGTTTTCTACTAAGCTGTTTTTAAGAAAATAAAAAGAAAAAGAAAAATTTATCTTCTTACTAGTTTAATATTTAAAGGATATATCTGTAAAGAGAGACAAAAATGACAGATATCATAGAATCTTCGGCTCGAAAATCCAATTATATTGGAATGAAGAAAGTCAAAAATGCTCAATTAACAGAATATGAAACTGATATAGAGTCCCTTAATAAGTGGACGATACCAGATGTCCCTAATAGGGATATATATAAAATTGGATTCCTCGACTATAAGTCGTTGATTAATATTAAAACTCTGGAAAGGACTACTACAGTCGACAAAGAAGAACAAACAATACAACTCTTAGGAGTTGCAGATGTAAATCCTTATATAGATAAATACAAATATTTGCATGTCGGTCTTATACAGATCGCATTTCGTCCTTTGACGTTATCTGGCTTAATTGCCTCTTTATTAGTTTGTTTAAGAGATTCAAGATGTTTAAATTGGACCCAATCTTTAATGGGTATTATGGAGACCAGTTTATGTAACGGTCCAGTTTATTTTAATGTATATCCAAATTTAAGCCTCTCATTGACAGATCCAAATATTCTAGAGGCAATTAGTCTTAATATAAAGACACACGGATACAATTATATTCCTGGATCCGATACTATTGCGATTATATACCGCATCCACTACAAAGTATTAAACACTTTAGCTCCAAAAGCTAAAAATCATTCGAAACCAGGCAAAACTGTTCTGGTTGAAACTAATGTATTATCTTCTAATATAGCTGTGAATAGACAAATTAAATGGGATGAAATAAATTTCCCAGAAAATTGGGTAATACCCCATGCCATTTAACCTTTGCCAATTATTAATCAAGATGTTGATCAAATTGTTCAAACTACTGATTGTGAGGTTGAAATAACATTCAATCCTTCTAGAAGTATCAGAATATCTGATGTGGCATCATCTGCCAGAAAGTTGAAATAACATTCAATCCTTCTAGAAGTATCAGAATATCTGATGTGGCATCATCTGCCAGAAATTCATTCTCTAGATCTGGATCTTATCTAGAAGTATCAGAATATCTGATGTGGCATCATCTGCCAGAAATTCATTCTCTAGATCTGGATCTTATAAAAACAGTTCAGTTCAAGGGATAAATATATCTGATAATAATATTCCACATGCTTTATATAAAGATAAAGCTTCTCCTCCTAATACGGAGATGAGTTTCAGAATGAAATAATGAATTTTGATAAAGGAAGTCCTATAAGGGAAATTCTTAATACAGATTTTTACCTTGATAAAAATAAAGATTTTCGAAATTGGTTTTTTAAAATTTTTTCGAAAAAAGACCAATTAAATTGGGTAAAGAAATATTATATAGAACTTGAGTATGAACAAAGAATTAAATTTTTTGTTCCATGGTTTTTAAAAAAATATGTTCTTAAACAGAGTAAAAAATAAATGTTTTAGAAGATCATTTAAAACAATGGAAAACATCAACGGGTAAAATTATTAGATCTATTAATCCACCTACAGACCCGATACAATTAAAAGATGTTTATCCCTCTACTATAGAGGCAATGGCTTTTATAAAGCCTAATGAGTTCAATGAAGAACATATGAAAGAATTAAGCAAAATTATAAAACAAAATAATTATACTAATATTTATTTAAAAACCATAGGAGAACAACTTATAAGAGTTGAAGAAGTCTTAGACAAATTAGTGTCTAAAATTACAGAGGTTATACCCTCATTAAAACTTTTAGAAAAAACAAATCTTTCTCAAAGAAAGATAGACAAAACAAATATTAAACCTTCTATTGATATTTCAGGATTTAAAAAAGATAGCAAACTCACTCCTGAAATTATAGAAAGTCTAGCTAAAAAACTAATGCTAGAATACACACACTTGATACAGTGTTACCATCCTCTTCTACAGTTATATCTGAAGAAGAAAATACGTCTAATACAGACAGTTCTGACGATATATCGTCAACAGAAATTTCTGCTGTAAAAAATAACTTTACAGAGATTAATAAGCTTAAAAGCCATCCAAAGAAAAGACTGGAAAGGTACTATTATAAAAGACCAACTCCAGCAGATGTTCTTTTTGAAGAAAATGATGCCTATCTACAGGCTGATTATAATGGTAGAAATATCTACGAATGGAATATAGATGGGTTATCAGATACCCAAATCAATTCTACTATACATAGAATGCTAATGTATGGTACCATTTGTAAACAAAATGGTAATAATGAACGTATGATAGCCTCTTTTATAACTTGTGGCTTTACTGGTATCCTTAAAGGATGGTGGGACAATTATCTGTCTGCAGATGCTCGAAATGAAATATTAGGAGCAACAAAAATAGAAAATGGTATACAGCAAGAAGATGTTGTTTATACGTTAATGTTAGCAATTGCACACCATTTTACTGGTGCTTACCTTGATGAAGGTGAAAGAATCAGGACCTTATTATAAAATTTTAGATGTCCTTCTTTAACTCATTTTCGGTGGTATAAAGACACATATCTAAGTAGAGTTATGTCTCTAGCTGATGCTAATAGCTCACATTGGAAAGCCAAATTCATAGATGGCTTGCCTACTTTATTTGCTGAAAAAGTTCGAAATAAAATTCGAACAGAATATGGAGGATATATTCCTTATGACAACCTATCATATGGGTATTTGTCAAACGCTTGTATAAAGGAAGGATTAGCTTTGTGTAATGATTTAAAGCTTAAAAACCAACTTAAGTCTCAAAGACTTACTAAAAGAAAAGAGTTGGGAGAATTTTATGAACAATTTGCTTATGATCAACCTTATAAGGTTGAAAAAGAAATTATTCCTAATAAAGGAAAAACTAAAAAATTCTTTAAAAAGAAAAAGAAAAATTTTAAATTTAAAGAAAAAGAACGAGAAAAGCCTCATAAGGCTAAAAAGAAAATTAAACAAGAAAGAAAATAAATTCATTGTTATAAATGTGGCCGTATAGGGCACTATGCCAATCGTTGTTATATTAAAAAGAAAATAGATGCGATTGAAGATGAAGGTCTGAAAAAGACTTTATCAAATATACTGATTAATAGTAATTCAGAAGACGAATCATATTCGTCTACTTCAGATTCAGAATCTGAAAATGAAAATTGTAAATGTGCAATTAATAATTGCAACGATAAGACAAATTATTGGAAATCTATTGTCCAAATGAATGGACTATCAATCAATATGATTAAGTCTAATAAAGATAAAGAACTTTTATCACAAGTTCTCTCTGCTGATATTTCTCCTACTTTAAAAAGAAGAATTATTAAAAATTTTGTCTAATAAAGACAAAAATCCTCAAATAGACAATGTTTTCAAATTCTCAGAAGTACAAAAAAGAAGGCAAAATATTGCTCATACTTCAAAAGATATATCTTTATCATTCAGAAGTACAAAAAAGAAGGCAAAATATTGCTCATACTTCAAAAGATATATCTTTATCATCTCTTAATAAAGAGATACAAGAATTA